AAATGGTGGGTTAAAACGTTTTAATGCTGGTTTTTAAAAAAACCGGAGATTCTCTGGTCTTGTCGTTTGGGCGAACAACCTGAGATTCTTTCAAAAAGTTCAGGACAACTGAGAGCTAAACGTACCGTAAACTTCCCAAAGGCTGCTCGTCATCCTTCATTTTCAAACCTTTTTCTTTTTCTTTCTGCTGAAGTAGACTGCTTATGACAGCCATCYTGTTACTCTGGTCTTTCCTGTTCAACAACAAGATGACAAATACATTTTTCCCCTGTCACTTAACTGAAAAAAGTCGAAAAARACTTCAAGACTTACTCGTTCGTTGGATGCCTTAATTCGTACAGATATCGAGCAAAAGACTGTTGAAAAATTATCATAGCATGAGAACACTTTCAGGTACAGTAGTTTCCTTCTGACAAAACGTGCCCTTACCTCGCCGTTCTCAGGAGGGTCACCATTTCCAAATGTACTTGTYACAATCAAGACAAGCTGTTCGTTTTCTAGTTCAGGGTGAGGATACTCGTCCATGCATATTACCTTAAATCAACAATGAAGACTGTTAGACTTCCATAGACGTTGCCATCGTTTGAATATACGAAATCATAAGAAAATGTTCTGGAACTATGGCTCTACCTCCCCTCACTCGATCTCATCATATCGTGAATATGCATCAAATAATCCAAGATGGCGGATTAAGGTGCGCAAGGCAAAATTGTGTGACAAATTCACACGGGATGTTTTGGTGGAAAAAAGTATCGTCGAGCGCTTAGTAATTCGAAGAGAGATTAGAGAGTAATTCGTCGAGAGATTAGTAGTAAGAAGAGTAAATGGACGAAAAAATGAAAACGGGTGTTTAAAGCGCTGTCCACTAACCTTGGGATCAAATGCGTGTAGGAACATCTCACTGAGCATCTTAGCATAGCTTTCTGATTTGCCTGTCTCTGTCGCGTACAATATGATGGCTTTGGTTCTTTTGGCCATTGCCTTGCCCATTAACTTGGCTGAAAACTTGACAGCCCTGAAAACATATTGTGTGTATAGCACGTCATTGCAGTTACTATGGCAATACATGACGAAAGCATTAATTATTTCCTACAAAATATTTCCATGAATTAAATAAGCTATAACCTTAGGCAAAAAGACTTGAGATAAGATTTGTCAAATATTGCTAAGTTTGCACATGATTTTATGATTCCTTTTACCTCYCCCATCCCCCCTCGCTCAACGTTGTGCTTCACGACAATACACCGCATTCTAATGTTCTAGGAAAAAGCTGGAAAGGGACTTTGATGCACAACCGATCGAAAACTCGCATTCGTTCGCGATAAAGCCAACATTATGCTAGATGAAATAATTTTTCAATGATATTTCAAATTTGTTATTATGTCTTACTTTGCGACCTCTTTGAACAATATTTTCTTTCTTGGTAGTTTGTCTTTCTTACGGATCGAATGATGCTTCCACGGGTCATCCTGATACAAAGACATTCATTTAGATCGATATTAACGATATCCTAGAATCGAGCACAAAATTATTTATTATATCTCTYTCACCTGATATTCGTAACTGGGCTTGAGGTTATAGTTGAGCATTTCCTTGGAAAGTAAACGATAGTATTTGTTACCAATAATAAAAGAATGATTAATTATTAGTTTTAATGATTTATAATATATTMGCGACTTTCAAAAATGGCGCGATATGTCACGGCTGTCGACCAGGGCATTGGGGATGAAGGTGGGGTTGAGTCTCAAAGGCCATCCTCCGTATAGTAAACTTTGATGGTGCCCTTGCAAGAGTGTTTTGTTATGAATAACATACTAATACATCTTTCAAAGGACATACATATATATACATCTTTCAAACTTTTGGACACTACGTACATGCGATCCTCTTTGTGATTTTCAAATTGAAGGCCTTTGAGGTCTTGTTTCCACGATTCATCACTAGTCCCCTGATATTGGCGGTCGTGGCCTTCCACCATTTTTGAAAGTCGTGTATAAGAATAGAAAATGTTCATACCTGATGGAAGACGGGGGTGGCTGATCCTGAAATAGGAGGAACTATCCACACCCAGTCTCCAGGACAACCGCCTCGAAGCTTAGTCTGCAAATAATGTAAACTGAGTTAATATCATTTTAAGTTATTGAAGGTATTTGTAGTTAAGTTTTAGTTCAAACACCTCACCTCGTTTTCAAAGTGCTTCATGAATGATTCCGCAGCTGAATGATGATCGATGATAGTGATGCCAGCTTCCTGTCAATCAATAAAAATGTATCACTGCTTATCAAAGAAGCCTTACACAGACAGTAGACACCAGTCTACCCCAGCTGACACGAAGACAACGACACAAAAGCTAATAATCTTGAGGGCATCAATAACGCTCAACTTAATGCCCAGAGCTTTTTTCCGAGTGGAGAAAAAGGCCGAGGCATCTCGAGGTCAAATATGGATTTTTATTGGCCTGTCCCAGTAACATTCTTCAACGTTATTTCATAAACACACCAAGCTGGATGTCGCGCGAGCAGCCGGTGTCAGGGATTTCTCGTCCACCATTTTGAATGACAAAGGGAGAGGAGAATTCCTGGGAACGATCTTGCAAAACGGCAATGAATTCCATCATTTCTAGAAAATGGTGCTCATTTTAAATATTTGTTATGTTCTATTAATAAGTATATCATCTAATTTTCTATACATTCGACACCTGTAAATTCCTTTGCGTATGTAAAGAGCGTAGTTACCTGGAAGCTTGAAAGAACAGCCAAATTCAACTCCACACAAGTCGAGTCTCTCCACAGTGAACTATTACTTCTTGTATCAAGTCCCATCTTCTTTGCAATAGGCTGAAGACACACACGTTTATACATACATTTATTAGTGTAAGTGATGCTSTTGAATTGAAAAAAAAGGGTGGGTGGRAGAAGGGGGTGGAAATTCTCACCTCTAGCATGTTATAACGTGCTGGGTCTCCAAGGTCACGAGCAGCTATCTCTGTTACCATRTACCTGGAAATAGGAATCATTTTGTTTCCTTTTGCATTAAACGGTCACTGCATGGTACTTGATCTACCATGCTGGTGGCTAAAAACTGTTAATTCTTGATTTGCTTTTTTTAGTTTTTTTTTTTTCAGTACATTCTTTTGCCATCCAGTATGGCAGATTCAGTACCATGTGAGCGTTTCATGCAAAAGGCCTATTTTTTTCACTAGAAACTGACGCAATTCAAACTAGTTAATTAACACTGGCTGATCAAACTCCGTCCACACGATTCCAGAATTTTTTTTATTCGCAAATGTTTCTATTTATACAGCTCTAGAACCCACACGTGCCCATCGTGTGAACGAGATCTTATAAAAGTGGTATTCCTTACCATCCATTAAAAGGACATCCGGGAAACTCTATTCCACCGACATCAAGACAAAGACACGACACGGCAGGTAAAGCATACCATTTTAAACCCATCTCCTCGAACCACGGGTATCTGTCAACGATGAATTTGTATGTTTGTATGTCTGTATGTTTGTTTTTTATATAATCATGACTGACTGAAATATTCAGTGAAAATTAAATCTCTCAGAATCTCTCCCAAAATGCAATGGGAAAGTAATTTGGCGCTCAATTCAGCAGCCGTACATGTCGGGAGAAATGTCATAGAGCGCGACTAGAGAGTAACTGTGCCTGAAGTTGTAGCTGGAGTAGCCAGGCGTTCCTCTAGCCGCTTCGAGAGAGTTTGGGCCGAAGAAACCCCGACGTTTCTCAGGCCCAAACTCTTTTGGAGCGGCTGAACGCCTAGCTAAACAGGCTACTGAASTTGTCACTAGCTAAACAACAGAAATTTTTCATTCATCTAACTAATTTTATTTATATTCATTATTATCTAAAAAAAAGCAGTTACAGTAGAAAGGAATAACCAACTTGAATTCGAAGCACATTGTGTTGTTGCATTGCTGGCTTATTACCTTGGATGCTTTATTTTTGCTTCAAGAACAAGTTCAGGTGGRATTTCGAAGATTTCTGGTTCTTCACCGCCAGCTTGTAAAACCAATGGTAACACGTCAAAGGAACCTCCCTTAGCTTCCCATCCGAGATTGATGCAGATCTGCAAAATAATAGAATTTATACATTGATCAGTGCACTTGATGAGTGGTGGCTGTTTTATGCATCATCAGAGGCCGGGGGATAATTCGTAGGGTTAATCACGCGGTATTCACAAGCCGTAGTCTGAACGAAGTGTGGATAAAGCTATTCGTGAACGTAAAACGTTATCCAATTATGTATCAATAGATATATTATCAGTTGGATAAGATTTTTCGGTTGACATCGCAACCGACGCTACATATAAGTCCTTATCCACTAGATAAAATCCATACAAAACCAATGCAGCGGACAATTTTTTTGCATATACCAACTTAGCTTGCCCCAGAACACAATGTCAACAACATCATCGCAGAAGAGCAAGTATTGGAAACTAGACTATTCATTGACTATTTTTAATAACGATTCTAGCCTTGACTAATAATCTGTGAAGGTGAAAAGACAATGCCTTACTTCAGTAAGTTCTGTGTTWGCAGGGTCTCCTATGATCGAGCCGTCGGGTTGTTTGTAGCCAGCGTAAGTAATAAGCTGAGTGTTCCATACTCGGAAGTCTTTCTTGGGTTCCCTGCGCTGGGGAAATACTGTGATTGTTGATCTGAAAACATAACATGTGACGTTACTCTGATGGTTTTTGTCACGCTTTTATAATTTTTGCACATTCAGTTGGTACCATATATGGACGGTGAATGAAGAGGGGCACATGGGTCTTGACGTAACTGGTATTGCCCTTATTGGTACCATATTTAGACGGTACTGGAAGAGGGGGACACGGTGTGTTGACGTACCTGATGTTGCCCTTATTGGTACCATATTTAGACAGTGCTAGAAGAAGGGGACATGGGGTGTTGACGTACCTGATGTTGCCCCTTATTGGTACTATATTTAGACGGTGCTGGAAGAAGGGGACACGGGGGGTTGACGTACCTGATATTGCCCTTATTGGTACCATATATAATATGCTTGATGATGGCATCGAACATTCCTCGATTAGTAAACACATCTCGCGCATCGAATAACTATAACAAATACATATTTATCATTAATTCAATATTTTGCTATTTTTGGTATAAAAGATAAATTTAACACCGTAAAAAAGTAGGTGAAATAACTTACTGACGTTTCGGACGTTAATCCTTCGTAAGTAAGTTGTTTCACCTACTTTTTTACGGTGTTAAATTTGTCTGTTTACACAACTGTTTATTTAGAAACACCGACGCAGTCGTTCACACTAGTTAATACCGCTAGTTCCCACCATTATTTTGTTATACAAGAAATACGATAGTCAAACGCTGAATATGTATGTCTATACACTCCTATACATTCCTCTCGTTTTGCAAGGAACGCGCGATGCRTCAAGAAAAGGACAAAGCTGGGAAAATAGTTGTTTGCCATAGTTGCTTACAACGTCAGCCGGAAGTGAAATGAAAATAGAAAACAAAGGAATGGCTGCTCTCACGTGATTATGCAATTTCTCTCTCGTTATACCTGCAATCTGTTCCAYTGTATCCTCCCGATGCACCTTGGGGCATTTCTCCAAGCCATTCGAGCACCAAATAGAAGTTCTTTCTCTGTCAGGTCGTAGGTTCCAGTCTCTTCGATTGTCTGGAGTACCTCGGTCAAGCGTTTTTTATGTGCAGGACTACCAGCTCTGCAAATTAAAATCGTTTATGAGGTATTTGATATAAACATCTGTCAAAGACAGAATTTATGTGTCTCCTTTCACCTATTTTTCTCTTAAAAAAGTCCTTGGCTGCACGATCCCTGAAATTATTGCGATGATAATTTTTATACGGACCAAACGTATATGGGTCGCGATCACAGCTGTCACGACTGTATTCCGAATTTTTAAAACGATATTTTGAAGGGATATGCCTGAAAACACTATGGGCATGTCTGATGCAAAAATTACATCTGCAAAATATAATAAAAAAACATCTTCAGCGAATATAAAATTGCGCCAAAAATTACATTATTGAATTGTATAGAGCGGATTTCGTATGAGTGGGAAACGGACGGTACTGTACTGTGTCCGTAATCGTACTGTAACCAAATTCTAGTGCCCCATTGTTTCACCAAAATTCTGCAGGCCAGGTGCGGTAACTGTGCGGTAACCGTGCGGTAACGGTGTCCCACTCATACGAAATCCGCTCTAT